CTCGATTTTTTTCTCGCTCCTATTTTCCTTCCTCTTTTTTCGCGTTTTCCGTCGAGTTTTGTTTTGTCGCCCATATTTTCCTTCTTCCCTTTCTTCACATTTTCCGTTGAGTTTTCTCGCCCATATTTTCCTTCTTCGTAGATTCCCTCGCGTTTCCCGTTGGGTTTTCTCGCCCATGTTTGTCTTTTTCTCTTCTTCTCCATAGTTCCCCCGACTCTCGAGGGCAGAACCTCGCGTACGTAAGAGGCCTCTCCTTGACGAGGCAAAGCCAACGAAAATATTGCTGGCTTCTGGGTGCTTGTCCTTAACGGGGTCCATTTTTGTGTTTACTGCCCGTTCGCACACCCTGGCGGCGACCCTGGAATGTGTGCGCGCAGCTGATCCGCCTTTGTTTTGCTCTCGGATGGAGGTCCTCGATGGGTTTCTGCTCGTTATTATTGTTATTACTGTTATTGCTGTTGTTTGTTGCTACAGATGATTGTAGGGTTTGTATTTATTACTTATTATTTTACTTCCATTAACTGCAGTTGGACTCTGCTCTTGAAACCTCCTTTTCCGATGAGGATTCGCTGCTCGTCCGCCTCCGCCGGTCGGGGAGTTCCCTCGCCGCCGCATCGCAGGATCCTCGTCCGTCGCCCGTGTCTCCCCGAGCGGATCGGCCAGCGGCGAGAGGCTGTGCGATAAAGGCTATAATTTCCGAGGAGTGTGGCTCTGCCTGGCTCTTGGCACGGCTCTCGAGAGGCCCGGAGGCGGCTCTCCCTCGGGCGTGTTGGGCCGCGTGTCAAACTCTGCATCGGGGGGGGGGGGGGGGGCTTTCCTTGAGGGTGAGGGAGGCTTGCTTCTCGAGGATGTCTCGCAGTCGGGCGTGTGAGGGACGTCTTATACGCACACTACACTTCTAGAGGGAAGAGAGAGAGAGAGAGAGAGAGAGTGAGAGAGAGTGATAGAGTGAGTGATAGTGAGAGAGAGAGAGGGGGGGGGAGGGGGCTTGTTTGTTTATGAATGTATTTATACTTGTCTGTATATCATCGAGGTGACATACGAGGCGCTTGGTAACCCAAACTCTTCCTCTCCTCATATGTTTACTTATTTAATGATTCTCCGTTGTCTTTTTTCCCAAAGTTGGGGAGTCGTCCCGCGCCAGTTGTATTCCGAGGGTGTTTTGCGAGTAAACACCGCCATTCACGCGGGGATACGTTCATCACGCGTGTGTTTATTAGGAAATGAGTTGCGTCAGTGGCCTAGAAAAGCGGAGAATAAAGGCCGCGTTTCGGGAGATGCGCGTCGGGTCGAGTTCTTGGTGACGTGACGTGGATGGTCTTCGATCGCCCCTTTTTGCGATCGTATTTTGGCTTTGGCTTCGTTTTACGATCGTTTATTAATTAATTAATTATTATTTTTTTTAGATATTTCCTTCGTATAGTCTTCGATTTTCCTTCGCGATCTTTGCAGGGTCTCTTGATTCCTTTCTGCGTCCGGATGTTGTCTCCGATTTCCTTTCGTAAATTGTCTTCCTGACTTTGCATTCGTACTTGGGCTCCGATTCCCCTTCGTAAGTTGTCCTCGTTCTTTGATTTCTCTTTACGATCACATGCGGTCTCTGATTCCCCTACTTGTCCTCGCCTGGTCTCTGATTCCCCTATTTGTCTTGGTCTCTGATTTCCCTACTTGTCTCGCCTGGTCTCTGATTCCCTATTTGTCTCCTGTGGTCTCTGATTCCCCTACTTGTCCTCGCGTGGTCTCTGATTCCCCTATGTCCTCCGCGTGGTCTCTGATTCCCTATCTGGCGTGGTCTCTGATTCCCCTATGTCTCGCCTGGTCTCTGATTCCCCTATTGTCTCGCGTGGTCTGATTCCTCTATGTCCTCGCGTGGTCTCTGATTCCCCTATTTGTCCTCGCGTGGTCTCTGATTCCCCTATTTGTCCTCGCGTGGTCTCTGATTCCCCTATTTGTCCTCGCGTGGTCTCTGATTCCCCTTCGTATGTAGCCCTTGTTCTTGGACTTCTCTTTTCGATTCCATTCCCCTACCATCCCATCCGATTCCCCCTATTCGTCCTCCGCCTATTCGTCCTCCGATCCCCTATTCCTCCGATCCCCCTATTCGTCCTCCGTCCTATTCGTCCTCCGATCCCCCTATTCGTCCTCCGATCCCCCTATTCGTCCTCCGATTCCCCCTATTCGTCCTCCGATTCCCCTATTCGTCCTCCGATTCCCCCTATTCGTCCTCCGATCCCCCTCTGCGATCGTTTAAAGGCTCCGGCGCCTTATTGCGTCGGCCTCGAAGCCTTGAGCAACTTATCAAGGGGGCGTGTCGCGAAGACGTGTAAACACTCAAAAGTCGGGAGAACCACGCGAGATATTTTTGGGCCGCGTTTCCCTCTCTCGGACGGAGGGAGGCGTGGAGGGGCGTGCCAAGTGCGCTCACGAGAGGAGGGGAGGAGGAGAAACGGACGGAGAGAGGGGACAGGGAGAGGAGGAGGAGAAATTGACGGAGAGAGGGGAAGGAGAGGGGGACAGGGAGAGGAGGAGGAGAAATGGACAAGGAGAGGGGGACGGAGAGGAGGGAGAAATGGACGGAGAGAGAGAGGGGGATAAGGAGAGGGGGAGGAGAAATGGACGGAGGGAGGGGACAGGGAGAGGAGGAGGAGAAATGGACGGAGAGAGGGGACAGGGAGAAGAGGAGGAGAAATGGACGGAGAGAGGGGACAGGGAGAGGAGGGGAAGAAGAGGGGGATAGGGAGAGGAGGAGAAATGGACGGAGAGAGGGGACAGGGAGAGGAGGGGAAGAAGAGAGGAGGAGAAACGGACGGAGAGAGGGGGCAGGGAGAGGAGGAGGAGAAATGGACGGAGAGAGGGACAGGGAGAGGAGGAGGAGAAATGGACGGAGAGAGGGGACAGGGAGAGGAGGAGGAAGAAATGGACGGAGAGAGGGGACAGGGAGAGGAGGGGAAGAAGAGAGGGGGAGGAGAAATGGACGAAGAGAGGGGAAGGAGAGGCGGAGAATTGGACAAAGAGAGGGGATAGGGAGAGGGGGAAGAAGAGAGGAGGAGGAGAAATGGACGAAAAGAGGGGGAAGGAGAGATATGAGAGGATATGAGAAGAAGAAGAGAGAAGGGTGGGAGGAAGTATAGGAAGAGGGGGGGAGGAGGAGGAGGAGGAGGAGGCAGGGAGAAGGAACACAGTAGAGGAAAAGGGGGAAAGATAGGAATAGGAGGACAGAAGGGCGGAGAGGAGCGGAAGGAAGAGAGGAGAGATGAAGTAGAGAGATTGGAAGGGAGGAGGAGATCAGAAAAAAAGAGGAAGCCGTGTCCTCGAGCCTCGGTCTTCCGTAGCTATTCCTGAGCCATGTCTTCACTGGGACGAAATTGCTCGTCTGTATAAGGCCTTTCGGGGGCCATCGCGGGCCGGCTCAGCTGGGCTTCCGTTCGTCATCCGGTTGTGTTGTCTGGGCGACGGGGGGGGGGGGGGGGTTATTGTTTTGGTTGCCTCCCTCTTTTAAAAAATTTCGTGTTTTCTTTCTTCTCTTTCTTTCTTTTGCTGTCTTGAGTCGTTCGTGTGGGGTTCCTGGTTGTCTTGTACTAATGCGACGCAACCGTGTAAACTGTTTTCTTGTTTTCTTGTTTATTGGAAACGGATTGTGGAAGGTTTCAGTGGTTTTGCATGTCTTTCATGTGCTGGAATCCCCTCTGAATATTGTTCATGTATCTGAAATTATTATGCTTATGGATGAAAATTATTAACTGACGTATCATGATATTTTATCTTCATCAGAACGCTTTGCAAAATTATTCATTAATATACATATAGCTTTTCTGTCTTCGTCACAATGGTTGATTGCCATAAAATTACGTTTTTTTTATTTTTTTATTCGCATACTTCTAGCGTGTGGAATCTTTAGCTCCATGCACCATCCAGTCCCATTCGCTGTACCATACAAAGCAGTGAAGTGGATTGTACCTTTGATCGTGCCAGCCCCGATGACTGCACCATGCATTATGTCACCCGGATTGCAACATGCACCATATCCGCAAAGGAAGTCTTCCTCTGACCTTTCAAGTCCCATAAACACACGTCGTTAACTTCCCATTGTTGTTGTTTTATATATAAATAACGAAGATTTTTGCGGTTGGCGATGCCGTCATGTCTCAAGGGGGCTGCGCAGTGCACGCGAATGGGTGTGTGTGTTTGTGTGCGAGTGTGCGTGTGCATGTTAAAGTGGGGGGGAAACGTGCTCGGAGCCATAATAGAGACGTATTTGGTGGGTCGCCGCAGCAGGAAGCATTTAATTGGAGGAAAACTGGGTGAACACGCAAAAAAATCAAGAATAAATAAAAAAGTCTAACGAGGTGAGAGATGCCGTGATATCAGAGGAGGTTCAGCCGTTTCGCGGAGAGGTTGGGTCCCCCGGGGGCGTCGCGGCGGGCTCGTAAAGCGTAACAAGCACGCCCGATATGGGGCCTCTCTGATGGATTCGCGTCGGAGGGCGGGCGTGGGGGAGATTTATGGGGCGCCGAAAGGACGGAGGTGCCACGGACGGGCCCCCTCGGACGCGCGCTCTTAATTACGAACAGACCGTGTTTTCCCGCCAAAAAAAGCGAATAAGGGATCGCCTAAAACTGATTGGCGAGCGAGGTTCTGGGCCCGACTTTTAGCCCTTTGGCTTTTCTGTTTTTTTATTGTTTGTTTGTTTATCTTCCCCCCGTAGTCATAACGGGCGAGGAAAATGAAATATTGCTCGGGGGTGTGAATGAAATGAAGATTTTTTTTGTGTCTGTGATGACGTCATGTTCGAGTGAGGCGGATCTCCCTCGGAGCCGAAAAAAAAAAAAAAAATTCAAATGTTTTTTTCGTCATAAATGTGTGTTAACAAGGACCTCATTGATATTCGTATGTGTCTGTGGTTAGAATAAACGGCATGCAAATTATTTCTGAGATTCGCCTCTTTGTAGCGCTCCCCCCCCCCCAAAAAAAAAGACGTAAATGAGGCCATTTACGAGGCCTTAGACTGCGGCGGGGCCCTGAGGGAGGAGGAGGAGGAGGAGGGCCTGTGGGAGGGCCGAAAGAGGGCCTGTGGGAGGGGCCGAAGGAGGGGCTGTGGGAGGCTGAGTCACCTGCGGTAGGTTTGCGGCGCGAGCGGGTCCCGGGGCGTGTGGAGGCGAGGCGGACAGTTGTTGTTGGTGGAGATGTGGGAGGTGGGGGGGGGGGAGGTAGTGAGAGATCTGAGTTGGTGAGGGATTTCGATTTCGGGGGGAGAGGAGTGGGAACTTCTTGGGGATCGCGAAACCTGCTGGCGGTGCGGGCGCGCGGGGAGGCCCGCTTTTGAACGTCGCGCCGGCCATGAGACCCGCGGCGGCGTCCGACTTGGAATCTAGAAGCCGCGTCGGGGTTCCAGGGGCGTGACTCATGATGCCCGTATAGCTTACCTCACGTGGGCGCGGGCGGCGGTGGGCGGCGAGCGAGGGGTGGCGCTGGCAGGTGCGCGAGCGAGGGGAGAGGGCAGGACGAGGGAGCAGGTCGGGCCTTCCCCTCAGTGTGCGAGTAGACCGCGGAGACGCTGGAGGCGGCGCGGCTGGTCCCGAGGCAGCCCGCCCGACGACTCACCTGTACGTGTGCGCTTCCCTCCCGCACGCCCTCCTCCCTCCCTCCCTCCTTCAGCCCTCGAGCCCTACGCTGGGCATGCATGACGATACCCCTCGGTTGCTGTGACCGGAGACGGCCCGCCGACCGTCAGGCGGACGGCGTCGGCCGCAGGTGCATGGGCTCCGCAGCCCCGAGTTAATAACTTTGTGCGCACCTGTCGACCCTCTCCCCTCGTTTCATGCTCTTCATTCCTCGACTGTGTGTTCCGAACGCCCCTTCCAGATAGCATGCCGTTGGTGTCAGTACGTCAGTAGTGATATCAACGAGAACCAAAGAAATTGCCCTCCTGTCCCTGGCGCGAGTCGCCCTCGCTTCCCCTCGGCGCGTGTCCCCGCAGGCCGCCCTCAGCCGGCCAGCAAGCAGTGCGGAGGCGCAGAGGCGCCGGGTATTCTGACGAAGATCGAGCAGTGACCTTATGGTGAGATGACTCAGTGACGGGTTTAGTGGCGCCCACCGAGTGTCATTGTCGTGGGCGGTGTGGGCGTATCTCTGACCTTTTGATTATTGGGTACTTCTCCCCCGTGTGCGCGGGCCGCCGCCCCTATTCGGCCGTGGGCGGGAGTGCGTAGCGCCGTCGCCCCCGCCGTTGGGATGACGTGACGCCCCTTTCCCTTTCAGAGCAGAGAGCGAAGCGAGCGCTGGTTGCGCGGCGCAGCCACTTGGCGCAGATTAGGACATTTAGTGAGCGAAAGGCGAAAGGTGTCGAGGAGGCCCCGCGCCGCGCGAGGAGCGAGGGCCGAGTGACGCCGGATATGTTCAAGTCTGAAGCCCAGATTTACCTTCAGAACGGCTTGGACGGACAACCGCAGCAGCACAACGCCAGCATGGAGCAAGGTAAAGTGGGCAGCGCGGGCGGCGGAAGGGAGGGCCGGGGGGAGAGCCGCCCTTATGCTTTATGTCGGGGCCTCGTCGCCTTGGGAGATGAGGCTGATATGGCGCGCGGAAGTAACGCAACCTCATTATGACGCCTCCAAGGGGGTGACTTGTGCCTTCGGTTTCCTCTCGCCTTGGGGAGTTGGGGAGGGGGGGCAAGAAAGTGCCATTGCTATGCTGATTTGGCTGAACGTGACTGCGATCCGGTGGTCAACCAGCCACAGACAAAAAAAAAAAAAAAAAAAATCGAAGGCAGAGCGATGCCATTGAAAAGGGAATGCTGAGAAGCGGAGCAGCGGGAAGATCTGCATCAAGATTTGCCTCGGGTGATCAGGTGAAGATATAATTATGCATGCAAGGCGCGGAAATGAGAGCGTGGGCCGGTGACTGATGAACCGCAGGTGTTGGGGCTGAGCATCGCGTTGGGGGGGGGGGAGAGGTGGGGGGTCCACTTTTAGCTCTGCAGTCGATTTTGTCCCTTAATTTTCGAAGACTAGTTGTGATCAAGGAAGCTAATTTTTATATGGAAAAATAATGTGTGTATGTATGTCATGATGATAGCTATTAATATTAGTGTTAATTGTAAGAATAATGATGCTAAATATATGGATGATGATAGTAATAGTAAAGTAATAATGATAATGATAGTGATAATGATGATAATGTTGATAATGATATGAATGATAATGATGATAGTAAAGTTTACAATGATATTAATGATGATGACAGTGATGATGTTGATTGTGAGATGCTGAGTGTCCGTCAGCTCGTGCGAGAGTATCTCAGTTGGAGACAGAAATCGGCTTGAACCCTTTCACACTGGGTCAGACCGCACACCCGAGAAGGCTTCGGGAAAGGCAGCTTCCCCGGCGATCGTGACCCAACGGCGAAGAGCAGGAAAAGCCCAAACATGTTTCTTCGCGTTTGGAGACTCTCAGTGGGACTCGTCTGCTCGCGATTGAAGGAGTGGATCCTTGTCCATCGGCC